CTTAACCTAATCGACAACTTTGTCTATTGATCAACTAAGAAAATTAGGAATAAATAAATTAAATCTATTTTAAGTTTCTCTCTCATAATGTAACAATCTATTTTTATATGTTTCATTTATTTATGGAAATTAGGGTTGGATAATATGTTTAACAAAATTATTGTCACAATATAAGAGTGTGGACTTCTCAAAAGGAACTTTGAGGTCTTGCAAAAGATAAGTAAGTCACTGAATTTCGTAAGAAATAGTTGTCATTGCCCTGTATTTAACTTCACAAGAGCTTTTTCATATTGTTTTCTTGTGTTATGCTTTATTTATTTTCATGATATGAGAGAACTTCCAAGATAAACATTGAGGCTTGTTATAACCATCTTGAATCCCCATAACTATCCCAGTCACTATTATAATAACCCTTGAGTTGAATAATAGTGTTACTGGAAAAAAAAAAATCGAGGCTTAGTACACCTTTGCTATACCTTAATACTTAATACTCAGAAGAGCAGCTTAGTAATGATTTGTTGATGATTTGGCAAGTAATTGAGAGAGTTATAATACATAAAAGGTTATGTCTAGTTGAGTGGTTGTGAGATACTCAAATTTGCATATTAGTTATTTATATGTAAGTACATTTGAGAATCACTCTCCTCCTTCACATGATAGTTTACTAACATTATTAATTGGAGTATTTGTTTGTTTACATGCTAGGAACCCTACTTTTGATAACAATTCTAAAGTATATTTTCTTTGATTCATTATTATCCCTTGTTTACTTCAAGCTACCTCTATTCTAAGAAAATATCTCATATTTCCTAAGTCTTTGATCTTGAAAGTTTTGTCGAAGGCATGCTTGATTCAATCAATTTCAGCTTTGTTATTTTCGGCTAGAATTATATCATTCACATACACTTATAAAGTTGTAAAATATTGATAAGTGAATTGGTGAGAGCAAGAACTTTAATATTCTCATTGATGAAACTAATATTATTTTTAAAAACAAGATTGATGTAGGCATAACAAGACTATTCATGATAATTTGTTCTTTAAAAAATATTAGAAATAATGGAAAGGGTTGGTTGATCTAAATCATATAGGTAATATGGAGAAGAAATAATTATTATGTTTAAACTCTTAATTTAGATACATATTTAAAAAATAGGCAAAATGTATTTACATCTTCTTCTGAGATTTAACAAAATTTCACTTCATAGTTCTTTTTTTACCTAACATAAATTTCCTTGACTTTTGTTATAACATAATACCACATACCCTTTTCAATTTAACAAATTACTCTTAATTTTTTATGTAATTATTGATTTAAAAATTATTATAATGTAAAAAAAAAGGTGTTAAGCAATAATTTATTAAACCTTAAGAATTTAAAATGTAATTTATCCTTCAAAAAAAATTAATAAATTTAATATTTTTTCTTCTTAAGATGATATGATATCTAAAGTAAAGAATCTATTAACATTTGCAAATAGTGTTTGGGTAAACAATTTAAATTAAGTGTTTACTCAATAAGTTTTTATTTGTACAAAGATTTATGTCATAAATTTAAATTATTTTTTAAAATAAAATAAAGAGTTTATTTTGAAAAGTTATATAAAAAAAACTTACTAAAATATATTATAATTTAATTGTGGATTTGTTCTAAGTTTGAGAAAAAGTATAATTTTAAGTTTGAATGACTTATTTGTCTACAAAAAGACTTGATAATTTAGGTTAGGAAACGAGAGTGAGGCATGTAATGCTTTTACTCTCATAATTTAATCTCAAATTGAAGAAAAACATCCATCACCTTTATTTCTTTAAAATTTCTATAATCGCTTTCATCTTCTACATTCTCAATGTATCTCTGTACTATCCATACATATTCTTATTACCTTTCATTTCTCATAATCACTTCATTCTTTTTCATTTCTCATCATGTCATAAATTGATCACTTTCATAAGAATATAATTTCATTCTTATCATTTTTCTATTATACTCAAATATACTTTTCATATCATACTTCAATTAATCATGCTGAAGGTCAAACACCTCCATACTCAGTCCAAAAAGTAATTTCTTAGTATAACATATAATTTATGTCATCAAGAACAAGGAAAACGCACACTTAATCAATTTAAATAAATCATCAACAATCTCATTCAAACACATATTTTCAAACTAAAATACATATAATCATTTACACGAGCTCAAAATACTTTCAATAATATCTACAAAATCATATTATTACACGTTCATAAGTACAAAAATATATCATGTTTTCAGTAATAGAATAGAGCTCTCATTACCTCAAAGTTATAGTTTTATGAAGAGGTTGATGGAAGAGATCATCCAAAAGATCAAGATCTTCTTAAGTATCATGAAAGAGAGTACTTTGAGAAGAGAAAAAAAATAGAGGAAAATAGAGGTGATATTGAAGAACAAAACTCAAAGAAACTTACTAGAGATTTACTAGAATTGATGTTTGAATTCATATTCGAAACAAGTTTGGAGCTCAGGAGTTTTCTCTGAGAGAAAAGGGAAAAGAGTATTCAGAGAGAAAAGTTAGAAATGTTTTTTTGGATTGCAATGCAAGTTTTAGAATAGAAATTTTCTTAAATACCCCTCAAAACTAGCAAGTTCTCGCTTGACCAACATAATTCTTGCCTAAGTGATCCATTTCTCACCTGAGCGAAAAAACTAGACAATAATTTTTCTTCAATTTTTTTGATATTCTTGTTTGAGCGAGGGTATTCTCACCTGAGTGAGAATGGGTATAGAGAACTCTTCCTTTTTTTTTTTACGACTCCTCACCTGGATAAGATGACAGTTGAAGCGATATTATCCTTTCTCGCTTGAGTGAGAAATCTTCAGAATGCCTAATCTTAGAAAATTTTGTCTTGCTGAAATGAGACATATTTTGTTTGAACGAGATTCTCTACAATTATCACAATCCAAACTCTTTTATATGCAAGCAATATGCACAACCAAATATCATAAAATATAATACAAATAAAAGTAAAATTAAGAGTGTTACACAAAAAGCAACTCTCCTCGAATCCAACTCAAGATTGAAGGAGAGAGTAGACTTAAATTTGTTTTTGATATTAATAAATGGCTTAAGTTTTACCTATTTGTCTAAAAAGTTTTGACAATTTAAATTCACGGTCTTCTTGCTTAAGTTCTTTACCTTGTAATTAATTAACTAACATGAGATTTATTATTTTAAAATTAAAGTAAAAAAAATTATAAACTTTTTATAAATTCAAATTATTTTCTTATAATTTCTTCTAGGTGCTTCCTAAATTGAAAGCATATTACTACTTGAGTATTTATTTATTATATATGTTTATATCAAGTAATAATGGTTAAATTAATTTGTTAGCTCTTATTTTTTTTATTTTTAATTTGGTCCTCATAATTTAAAATATTTTAATTAACTTCTTATAATGTTATATTTTTAATTAAATATTTAATAATGAATATTATATATATATATATATATAATATCGATGTCATAATATTTTTATAATTTGATGACCTGTCTTTTTTCTCCATTCTAATATTTTTATAATTATTTTTTATAAGTATTTTTCAAATTCCTAAATCATATTATTACTAGGTTATATTTTTAACGTTGAATTATTGTTAGTCATTTGTATTTCACATACTAAGAGTGATAAGTTCAAAGTAAATTTAGTTTTTATCTTTTATTTATTTGTTATAATAAAATATTCATATAAAATTGATATAAAAACTTGAAGTCACGCAGTTAGAATCCAAACTTTAATTTATTTTTTTTATATATAAGTAAATTTTAAGAGTCTTTAAGATTTTAAGAGTGATTTAAAATCTCTTTTTTCTTTCTTGGTATTTTCTGGATTATCATATTTTAATTGTAGCATATTGAATATGTAAGCATCAATATAGGAATTATAAGATTCAGGAATTTAGAGAAAAAAATACTTATAAAAAATTAGTTAGTAAATTGAAAATATTGTGTGATTGTATTTAATAAAGATATAACAATAATAATAATTGAAAATGCAATTAAAACATTTTAAAATTATAAAAAAATTAATTAAATTTTTTAAACTGAGAATTTAATTAGAAATGTAAAGAAATTATGAAAATAAATAGATTAATTTAACTGGAATTAACTTCATAGCATTATAGTGTATGCTTTGTATGATATGACAAAGTTAAACTCTACATGCAGGTAGACTCTGTTTGTATAAATTGCTTTATAAGTCTTTCTTCTGTATGGTTATGCAATGCACACACAAATGAATTTGAATTTATCATCTTTTATGTTAAATATTGAGTTTACTAAATTGTTCTTATGACAAAGCACCTCAAAACTGTCGTAAACAACCACGGTATCACTTCAAAATAAATTTAATAAAAAGATTACTTAAATATTTCACATGTCCTAGGAAGTTTTGTATACAATATTATACTTTTAAAAGGATATACTATAATACTATATACTATTTAAGATTGAATGAAATTTAAAAATTAAAAAGATTATTATTTTATTACATTTAATAAGACAAAATTAAAATTAATTTATCTTTATTTATATGATGCATTAAAATTTAAAATTTAAATTAAATTGACAAATATTACAATAATCTTAAAATTGAAAAAATATCTTCGATTTAATATAAAACATTAAAATTTAAAACTAAAAAATATTGAAAAATAATTTAAATATTGATTTTACTAAAAACGAAAAGGCCTATCCAAAAATATTTTGTGTAATGCCACTATCTTGACAAATTTGTCATTCCTGACTAGACAACAGCCATTTATTTTCTTAGTGCACTGTCCTTTGCATTTTGGGTGACTCAAGTGAAACACATATTTCAAAATAAGTTGTCCGTTTACTATATTTAAGAAAGAAAACTATTTTGTAGTCTTGTGTGGGTATGGCTGGTTGTCATGAAACTTTTGATTCACTAGCTGACAGTAGGGTCATTCCCTGTGAAGCAAAGAACAGTATAATGGTAATCAAGGTTAAAATTTTAATATGCCAAATCTCCAGCTTGACGACATCAGCCAGTACGCTCTCTACATTAACATCACGACTAATCCCTACCAATTATAGACAGAGGAGGTAATGAAATTACAGAAAAGATGAACCTAAAAACTAGATATATTCATTCATATACCCCCTACAAATTGGAAAGACACTTAACTCTAACCTACCCAGATAATGATATTAGAAAATTCTAAACAGATCCTTTCCCTTGTAGCTTGTTAAACATGAACCTTAGCCTTGAGCAATCTAAATGTTAGTGAAAGCCGCTAGTCGTCATATTCCAAGTCTAATAGCTCTGCTTGAAATCCATATGACTATAGCTTATCCTAGTGAAGTACTGGGACCCATTCGTACCGTCCTGCCAGAGGTACTTCATTGACAATGTCGAAATTGTACCTGAAAAATACAGACAATATAGACATAATTAAATTAATAAATGGGGAAATTTTCAAATAAAAATACCCTATAGGTAAAAAAGAAAAAATAAAATAATATATATATTTATATATATATATATATATATACACACACAATGGGATAAAGGAATGCACACTTGTCCATAAATATTGCTTGTTGCTGCTTCTCTGCATAAGCAAAGAACTCCTCCATCTCATAAGCCGTTGGAATATTTCTTTGTATGTGTTCACGGATTATTTGGTGCGTTCTTTGCCTTGTGGTTGAACCAGGAGTATGAATTGCATTTGAATCCCTTATTAAACTACAAGGTGTGCTTTCCCTGGTGCTTCTGTTAAAGAACAAAATTAAAATAAAAATAGATTAGTAGAAAATAGTCTAATAGGGAGAAAAAGAAAATAGCAGTCATTTATAATTTATAAATACATATACTGGCTGGTTCTCAAACGTTTCTGCACCAGAGCCAGCATGCTAACTGCTGACAGCAAAATAATTGAGGAAAAAAAAAGATAATATTTCCTCCACAATCTCTTCAGTTCACTATGGAACTAGAGACAAATTGCTACTCCAAAAAGGTAACTGGCATTTAATGAGACAAGTTCTGACTCAGTGGGCTCAAGGACTAAAAAAATACAAAGAAAGAGACGCCCAAATCTTTCTCACTTCACCGCAAACCCAAATAGGAATCCAAAAAACATCGATCTGCAACTAGGCCCCATCCCATGTAAATGACACATCGTTGCTAACACGAGTCATAAGAGTTATGGCTGCTCCTGTTACTAAAGTCCAAATATTTTCAACTTGACAATTACGAAGCGCTAAGCATTTTGAAGTGAAACATTTCGAATTACTCAGATTTTAAGTTCATCATAATCTTGATGGAAATATGACTAGACATAACAAATGGCCTAAAAATATAACTCCATGAAAATTGTTAAATCAAAATTAGTCCACAATTAGATCTGCAAAGACAATAAATGTTCTTCCATTTTCTAAAATCAAGTTAAAGAACCTTTTTTCCAATTTGTTGGTTCTATTTACTTGGAAAAAGATTGAAATTTTATCAACTCTCTGCATTATTGGTTAGAACCATTAATTATGTAAATAGATAATTACAATAAACAGGATTTCTAATAATAAATTTATAAATATTTCACATGAGGAAGTCGAATTAAAGTGTAGCATGCAAATATAAATACAGCAGAAAAATGCAACTTGCAGTAAATAACCATCCAGAGGAGCATGCATGTTGCAGAACCTATCACAAGTCACATACAGAAGTCTCAAATCTGAGCGACCCTTTGTCATAACAGACCTTTATCTCAGTACCCAGATTTTGACAGAGCAAGAAATAAAAGCAATTACAGGAAAATAAAAATACATAACCAAAAAATTCCAGGACTAAGACTTCACAAAGGTATAAAAATAATTAATAATAACAACAATACATATATATATATATATATATATATATATATAAACAAGTAGCAAAACAGTTGTTACTTTTGAGAGAGGATATCTCATAACATTTTTCTACACATACCCTTTCGATAAGAATAACTTTTTATTAAAAATTTACTATTTATTAAATTTTTTATAATATGCCTTCAAAGACACAAGTTGAAAAACAGGGCATCATGTATCAAAATAAAAAATTTTAAACCCTCTTCTATCCCCATTACCTCGGCTCCACTAAAACCGTAACAATTTTAGCAACATAAAAATCAGAACAATCACATGAAAGTAAAAATGCATTAACAGAAAAAATTCAGAAAATAAGAGCATGCATAGTTCAACAAAAAAATTAAATAATATGAAAAAAAACTAGAAGAAAGATGCTAAAGAGTTGTGACTTTTGGGAGTGAAATATGAATAAAACTTCTACTCTTCAATGTGCCTCCAGAATAAAAAACACACACAGAGATAAACACTTACATGCAAAAACAAAAAATATTTACTCTACACAAATGCATGAAGCAGAAACAAACAGGAAAAAAAAATTACAAAATAATAAAAAAGTAAGAAAAGAGGAAGAAAGTGAGAATTATATAATATGTATGTATACCTATCTTCTCTGCCTTCAACCTCTAAGAAATTTTCGCCAAAAGAGCACTCAGCGTTATCCTCTTCCGCGCAGAAAGGTCCTAACTTTTCAGCGCTGTGAGACGACGCAGTTTTGGCAAACCTCTGTCCGAGCCTGGAATTGGAGACAGCACTATCGCCAGAGAACTTGCGAGGCTTTTCCGGCAGCTGCGGCGGAGGGAGCTTAAGGAGGCGGCGGCTGCGGAGCTGGAGGTAGGCAGAGGAGTCAGGATTTTGCGGCGAGGAAAGTGGAGGAGAGTTTTGAAGGGCAAGGGTCTTGGCCCTGGTGCGAACCCCGAGGGGAGAGTGGGGCGGCGGTGCCTCCATGATCACAGCAGCGACATCGCCGGCGATTTTGGATTTCTTCATGTACTTGCCCATGTGCTGTTTGTTTCTTTGTTAGGTTTTGGGGAAAATCAAAAAATAAAAGAGAAAAAAAGGAAAGAAAAGTGTTGGGGTGGGGTGTGCGAAAACTGAAGAGTGTGTTGAAATGAACTGAAAGGGAGAGAGAGAGAAAGGAGGGAAGGGGGAAATTTGTCTGTGGGGGAGAAGATTGTCCAGTTTATTAGGGTTCGACTTTGGGGTTTTAGGGCAGTGTACACGTGTCTCTCTATCTATATATTTCTTTTTTATTTCTTTACAAAATTTCAAAACACTTTCATATATCTTGTAAATAAAAACACTTTCTATTTTTCTATTTCTATTAATTCAAAATTTGATTCTTCATTTTTTATGATATTGTTCATAAATAAAATTGATTTACTTTTTGATACTTTAAATTAATTATACATACTTTTTATATAATTTTGATTCATTCATTTTAAAAAGTTTACTTTAATTAAAAAAATACTAAAAGAATGCAAGAAATATTTACCAGTATATATATATATATATATAGATAAAACATATTTATTTTTTAAACAGTAATTTAAACAGTCCAATATAATTAAAAATTCTAAACTATTTTATCTAGATAAAATTTTATAATTAAATAATTAAGTCATGAATCATTGATTGATTATATTATTAAGTAAAAGCAAAATAAATGGAGACAGATGCGTGATCGCTTTGAGTGAAAATGTGTTGTTGATTAGTTATTCAAATTTCTTTTTACAGTTTTTCTTGGTTAAATAACATGTAAAGTTGGCCTTATTTTTGGGCACCAAAAGTTAGTTAATTTTGAATGGAATTTACTAAAGTGCTTTATTTCGACTGCAAAATTTGTATTTTTGGTTGCACTTTTGATCCTTTTTATTTTTCAGTTACAAACAAAAAGCGTATCCCATTCTTTTTTATTCTTTTTATAAGTTCAATGAGTATTGCCTTTATCAACTTTCAATAATTCTTTTCTGAAGCTCCTTTTTCTTTAATGAAGTCTGTGCTAGTTCTAGATAAAAACTTTTTCATATTTTTTTGTTAGTTTCTTACAAATTTTTATTGTCAAATTACATTTATATCTTTTAAAATTTAAATTATACTTAACACACTTTTTATATATCATTTTGATATCCGAGTGTGCAATTACGGTGCAGGTATTAAGAATTCGTTTAGTTTAAACTTGTGTAAATTTAATTTTAAATTTTTAAATATAATTATAATTTGTGCATAAATTTATTTGAATTATATATTATTAAAATAAAAAAATTACACTAAAAGATACAACTATTTTTTTAACTAAAAAAATAAACATTATAATTAAAAGAATTTAATCCACTTCTATGTTATAAATTAAAATCTAATGTGTAGAAAGTAAAGTGTTTACTTTTTTTATAAGTAGTTATATGTAATTTTTAATATTAAAATTAGTTTAAAATGAAGTGTAAATTATATTTTTTTGAAATAATTATTTTATTTTTTATCAATTTTTGTTAATTATATTATAAACTTAGGAGATAAAAATTGTTACTTACTTTTTTTATTACTTTATAAAAAATTTAAAAATTTTGTAAATAACCATGTTTATATTTATAAAATTTTTGTCATTATCTTGTATAAACTTTTAAATTTTCTATTAATATTTATATATATATATATATATATATATATATATAATTTATCTTATTATTTTATATAAAATTTTAAATTGATTATGACCACAAAATGTTAAATTAATTATGACTACATATATTTACATCTATAAAATTCATAATACTTAATAAATTATTTATAATACTCTAAGTCAAAATTTTCAATAATTATTTATATGTAATATCATATAAAAAAATTTATTTAAAATTATAAAATTTATTACCTTCATTCATCTATTTTTTATTCTCAAAACTTATATTGTTGTAAAATATTCTCTCTTATATTCTTTTTCAAACAAATTCACATATAGTTTTATTGTACTTATATACGTAATTTTAATTTTTTTATTTATTAATTTAGACTTTACTTTTAGGATTTTTATTTCATAAATTTATAGTTAATATATATTGATAATTGATATTTAATTAAAATAATTAACACTATAGAATAAAAATATTATTTTAAAATTAATATAATTTTTCTAAACAGTTATAATTTTAATACATGTTATTCATAATTATAAAATTAAATAAAAATAATTTTAACATTTATTGTTTAAAATAATATCGTTATGTATACGCTTTATGTATAAAAATGTATTAATATATAAACGGAGAGATGATTATATAAAGCTAAAATGAAAAAAAAAATTAAAATTTATTATAATTTACATATTATATGCGTAATTTAGGCAAATCTTATTTGATTATTACTTAAATATATATTTTTTTAATCTAACTTCGAATTCATCTCAATTTAGGGCTTTTTTTAATAATTTAAATATACTGCAAATTCTTTTAATCTAGGATGAATGTTTGAGTTAAATGTTCAGAACTAAAAGAACTTTTATATTAATAGCAATCCAATATTTGAGTAATTCTATTTTATTTTAAAATAAGATAAATGCAATTTAAATATAAATAAATTTTAATTGTAAGAAAATTGTAAAGTTTATGAAAAATTAAATTAAGAATAAATAACATAATATAATATGAGTAGTGTTTAAATATATTTTATGATAAGGAGATGGGAGAGTGATTTTGCTTTAACTTAAAGAGCGTTTTAAACTCTTCTAATACGTCATATTATATAAGTGTGTTAGAATTTTAGAGAACGTCTCAATAACTTCTCTTAAAAGTGTTTAGAGACTAGTTTAATATTAAATTTTAGAATTACTCTCTAAATTATACTTCTGAAAATGATTTTACGTGAACTGCTCTTCAAAGTAAAGTTCTTTTTCTAAGTTTTGAAAAAATTTAGTAGTTTATTTATTGATTTTAAATTTAAAAAAATTGTTACTCTTAATAAATCAAGTAATATCATAATGAATAATTAAATACAGTTAAAAATATTTCAATATCACAAGTACACCTAATAAAGAAACTTAAATATCACAATAAATAATTAAATCAAATTAAAAACAATTCAATATCCAAAAATTTCATAATAATACAAAAGAGGAGAAAATTAATATAATTATGTTAAGGAGTAATAATGAATAATGTACCAACCATGTATACACTTGCAAATGTATTTAAGATTATACATTGTACTCATATAAAAAAAAAAATCAATGAAAATCTTTTATACTGAGTTTGTCCTTAAAAAATTTATGATAGAGATATATACACTACTCCCTCTGAACTTGCTGAATTATGTTATCAGCAAACATTGAGAATTGAAACTTTGGAAAATACTAAACATATAACAAATACACAAAATCAAGTTAAATGGAGAATATGACATAGTTTAAGTAAAACAAAATTATTGAGTCAAAAAGGAGGATATAGACTCTTAAGTTAATTAGGATCATAGTTTGTCTATGCTACAAAGTATCTTCAATGAAGAAAAATACATAACATTTATGGTCATCACTATTTGTTTGTTTAAGACACTTTGTAGAAGAAAAAAATGTAAAATATTAAATAATAATATTATCAATATTGTAATAATTAGCATTTTAAAAGATTATTTGCAAAATATACATGTACAATGACTCATTTTGTTTAATGCATCTTTGACTCTCTACTCAATAAACAATAGTGGCGCTAACAAAATAAATCAAAGAGATATGTTACAATTCAAGCACATTCATATATATTAGACATTAAATTATATACTTACTTATTAAATAAGTTGTGCATATTTGTCCGATTCTTAAACTGCTAGCTAATATAATACAATGTTCATCAGAAGTGTTGATGGCAATTAACACTCAATGTTACCTATCATTAGTTTAATAACTTTAAGTTAATTACAAAAAGAAAATTGGAAACAAACAATAGGAATGAAATATGCATAGGAATAGAAACAACTTACCTAACATTATAAGGTGTTAAAATCAAGTGATTTTTCACTGTATGATACTTCAACATTTCAACTATATGTTGGTGTTAGAGCGTCTCATCCAGCTCATACAAAAATATAAATGAAAACATACTTACCTTATCAATGTCATGCAAGTAAGTTTCATATAGATACCTTATAGTACAAATCAACAAATAAAATGTATCGGAAGAACATGAAAATAAAATAACCTTATTAATAAAAAAAATATATAGTAGACAAATAGTGAAGACACTCAACCCCTAGTGACGTATAATCTTCATGATGTTTCTTCTCAATTGTATCATAATACTCTTTTTCCAATGCTCAACAAACATATGAATGAAAGCTTGATCAATAGCCTGATCACTTCTCACAAAATTTTTTATCATGTGGAAGCATGGAGCACCTTGGGTCTATACTAACACTTTAAGGTTTGAATTAGAAATTAAACTCTTATTGCTTAAACCAACAATAGACTCCTTAGTGTAGCCTGTTTATTTCTTATCTCTTTACTTGATGATAATGCAATATGAAATCATTACTTTTAGATTAATATTTATAAATTATACATATTGTCTAAAATTATAAAGAAATTTACATACATGCCTTTGGTTGTAAAGTTATTAGGCACAATAATCAAGCAATAAATGTAACTATTACATCTCTAAAGCAAAGAAGGTTTACTTCATCGTTAGGTATGAGCAATGCAAACCCTTCTTCATTTGCTAAACTACCTCAATTGAGACCTTAGCATATTTTGGAGGAAGAGTCATAGTTTATAGGATGTTGCCAACCAGTGTATGATACACTCTTCCTCTTCGAACAAGCTAATTTGAGATGTTCAAATACAACATATAATCATAGTCACCCTAGACAATAAATTAATAATAATATTTATTAAGAATTCAAAGTATGAAACAATGTAAATAAATAAATAAATAATATTTAGATACTTCTAGAATCTCTAGAAAAGCTATTGGTGTGAAATTGTCTTTCTAACTATTACATGATATATCCAATTACAATTAAAGGCCAAGTTCTGGCAAGTGGGGCATTTTAGGAGCAATGATGTAAAGCAGTTACATTGATGTATGTATAAAGGGTGGTGAAATGGTATTAAGTATGAACAATGTTTAAACTGACATAAATGGAA